TCAACCCTGTTGTTCGGTCGTATGCTTGTGTGTGTGTATAAAAGTGATTTTTTTTTGCGGATAATAACTAGCGAGCGGCTGTTAATCGCGACTAGTTCTCTCGTGCGTGTGCGTGTGTTGTGCTCTTTTTTTTTTGTTTGTTAATCTGTTTTATACCAGTATTTCAACCGTTAGCTAGCTAGCTTAACACTCGGCGAGCAAGAAAGAGAATAATAGAGAGAGAAGCGTGCTCTTATATTTATTTACTCAAAGATATGGCATAGAGTTGGGTATTAACCTGAATTTACATACCCTTGCAGTGTGTATTAGAAATTTGTTCAAGGTTAAAGGTGTAACGCATAGATGGAGACACTAAATATATATACTCCTGATCAGTATCAATAGTTGAGATGATATAGTCATGTCCGTCCGTCTAATTTTCTGCAACCTCGAATATAATATACCTTGCATACACGTATCCTCCTGATGTAGGTTACATTTATTACTATATCAAACAGCTATACAGGAAGAATCAGTCGGAAAATGAACGTTTGATCTCAATCAAACTTTTCTAGAGAGTTTTATAGAATTTTAGATTATTGTTAGAAGTCAAGTTCTGTTGTTTAACCCAAGTTCAACTCGAGATTTTGATAAATCAACGAGCTGTTGCATTTGTGCTCGTCTATTATATATAGACACACTTCCATAGTTAGTTAATTGGGGCTGCCAACTTGTTGCTAGCTAAAAGCGAATACAAAAATATGCAAATCAAGGCAATTTACACGCTTAAAACGTGGCTTATGTGACAAGCCATATGGAAATCTCGTGGCATTTATGCACTCGCTCTGCCAAACTGTGCGCAGTTCAATAAATGAAGAGTAATTGCAAGTGTGGGGTTGAGGGGGTCGCTGCAAAAGGAAATAAGGACAACAAAACGCTGCAATTAGGCGAAGCCAAGACAAACAACGAAACGGCGGAGCAACAAGGACAACAAGGAGCGGGCAGGTGTGTTGCCAGCTGCAGGAAAATTATGCAACAAACTTTGCTCGCAACAGCAGCTGAGCAGCCTTTTGCTGCCAATTAAACGCATTTGCTAAAAACAAGAAAAAATACGAAAAATTTGCCTGGTGCTGGCAGGAAACAGGACAACGCCAATGATGGGGCAGCGCCGCGTCAGGATAACAACAGCAGCCGCCAGGTGAGGCAGCTCACCTTCTCATATGCGGCGACTGTTCAACGTTGAAACAAGTTTATCAACGTGTGAAAATTGCGAAGCGCAATATGCACAAACAGCAGCAACAACCACAAGGAAGAGAGCTTTAGCCGGGAGTAAACGACTCAGAGATACCCTGTAGTCGGAGCCAGGAAGCTGAGACAAACATTCGTACTTTTGCCTTGGGCACAAATGCATAGAAACACTCGCACATATAAAAAAGCATAAAGAAGAGCTTGCTGCTCACTTCACGCAGTACTTGTGCTTGTTCTTCGCTCAGCCCCATACTATAGGAAATATGTTCTTGGATAACTTCACTATTTGTAGTCCGATTTTTATAAAATTTTCAAGCCATAAAGATGTTATCTAATTATGTGTATATCCCAATGCGCAAGAAGCTATCTCTATAAAAAAGTATTTTCCTTTTAAATATACCTGATTATCGTTGAATGTAAATGCGTCATATGTCTGACTCCTTCTCCCAACTACCTGCACTTACACAAAGTACCCGTAATGCCCATTTTAACCCACTTTCGATGGGCACAGGGTATGGCAACCGCAAACAACAGCACAGCAGCGTGTCAGGCAGCATAACGTCATGCCGGCCGCATATTCAAATGCAAATCACGTCATCAATATGCAGCGCACACACACCCACACACACACCCACACACACACCCATACACACAACAGCCAGACAACCCACAAGCCAGCAACTGCGGCAGCCGTAACCCCATACGTAGCGCCAACCGCAAGTATCGTTCGTCTCTCCTTGGTCGCATCGTATCGAACGTTGCATTTTGACAAAATTATCCCTGGACCCCAGGTTCAATTTTGTGGCTCTGCGCCAGGACGGGCAGGAAACTTGCTCCTGCAAAATCCTGAACGATGGCCAGTTTTTTTCTTGGTTCTTTTTTCTGATTCTGTTTGCCGTAACTTACACGTGTCACTTGCGTTGTCATTATATGAACTTCTAATGATGGACAGCAAAAACTTGTAGGTTTTTAATTATAATGCAACGATGCACAGGCTACCTACGAAGTGCTTTGCGAGGGTTGCACGTCAAGTTCTGGCAGGGCACCTGGAAATTTGTTAGTTCGCTATTAAAGAGTTCGTTATCCGATGAGGATAATAGGCGGATATTAAAAGGCAATAATTTTGAATGATGGGTAAATTCGATCATTAGCAGAGGCCTTGAGCAAGTACTCCAATCATAAATACATCAAATTTGCTTGACTTAAATTTGATATCGTGTAGTTCAACACAAATATGTTTCATAGATATTGAATATGTTGATATTTCTCATATTTACATTTCCTGAGGAAACTTATTTGTGAATATCACATTTTTATTATGAATTTTATTACTCTAAAACTATAAGCTATTGAGTTAGTGACTCTGAAACTGTAATTCGTCAGTAAATCAATGTTCGGCTTGTGAACCAGGCTTTTCGCATCAATCATTCCACTCATTCCATTCATATTCGCAGTATTCCAAAAAGATTATATATAAACAATTCCTTAAAAATATATTGTCTTGAGCCAAAGCAACTTTTGAGAAATAAGGTTCATTTTTGTTGGGTTCGGTTTTGGTTCATATGAAAAAATTAATTGATATTCCGTGCTCGAACCAGTTCCTGGTTCCTGTTAAAAACTGTTTCATTAGTTAAATTATAAATATTAATTTAAATTTAAATTTAATTTACTTTCCTATTTTCCATAACATCGATACGATATTCTATAAATCATCGCAAAAAACACGAATTACTCGGTTACATTAATTGCAAATGTGAAAAATGTGGAAAACGCTCAGGAGACATACTTCTTATTCGCAAAAAATGTAAGAAATATTGGTAGTGGAATTCGACTATCAAGCATTTCAATGCCCCCACACATATATTTATTTATATATTTTCTCTATATGAAATAATATTCTTTGCCAAGCTCAATGGGCACGAAGTTTGGGGATCGAACACCCTTGTAAGTACAAAATACGTGCTTAATCCATAGAATTCCACTTATATTCCACACTCTTATGGGCAAAGTTAGTCGCTAAAGTGTTTCGAGCAACCCTCTTGCCCTTGGGTCAGCTCAATTAAGTTGAGGCCTTCTGTTTGTGTTTTATCAAAGGCAACGATAACGACGACACTTTGGCTGGCGCTGGCATCGATTTAAAGTTGGTTGCCTTGCTTCTTATTTTTTTTATTTTTTTTTTGGCCATCTTCCGTGCTGGAAACTCATCATGGCCTCACTTTGGCCTCGTCATGCTGCCTGCAAAATGGCAGGACGAAAAAATAAGTCACTCACTTAAAAGTTCAGCGGCTGCAACGTTGCAAAGTTTGCTCACTGCAGCATGTCCTGTGTCCCTGCGTCCCGTGTCCTGTGTCCCTGTGTCCCTGCGTCCCTGCGTCCCTGTGTCCTGTGTTCCTCGTTCCGGCAGCAGCAGTAGCAGTAGCTCGTCCATGTCGTGGCCGGAGCTGGTCAGTTAGTTTCAATTTTAGTTTTTAGCTTTCAGTTTGGACTGCTTCCTCTTCACTATGTGCCATGTTTTTGCTGTTGTTATTTCATTTTTTGGCAGCACAAACCGTACGCTGATTACATGTGACAACTTAATGAGTTTGCGGCCAAACATGGCTTGTTAAGCAAATAAATTAATTAGCGCTCTAATTGAGTTTTCCTTTGCCCTACCTCTCGCCTTTCCCGCCTGTGGTTGCTGCTCCTCGCAACTCCTCGCTGCTCGTAATTGATGAGCAAAGAAATTAACTATAATTTATATTTTAACCAATTCACAGCCCAATATATATATATAAAATGCAAACATCAGCAATTCCCAATCCCAATTCGATTCAAGTCAAAATTCAGAATACATTTCAATTTGTCATAAGTTAAGCCAACAGCAAATGTGCCTTCAATGTATTGACTGAATGATAAATGAATTAATTACAAGCTGGGCAGTTGGTGCTAGTCGACTTTGATATGCTCTTACTTGAAAGAAAGAAAAGCTTTTAAGGCAAACAATATATAGGTGCTTAATTTTTGCTTGAAAAGCAAAGTTTGTCATCTAAAATGCATTTATGTTATAGTGTGGAAGAGAAGTCAGAGACTTTTAAATATAGCTTTAATATATATTCACTGCCTAGAGGGGAATATGTGTGAAAGCAGATTCTAGAGACATATTTTACTTATTTTGAATAAATATAGTTCATTTCTATAACTGCTTAATATTGCCTAGAAATGAAAATGTTCACATTTAAAATGCATTCTGTCTATGGAGGAGGAGCAAGAGTTCTCCATACTGACTTATAGTCGAAATCACTGCCCAAGGTGGAATATGTGTGGAAGCTGCATGATAATATTAGAATCATTAATAAGAAAATTAATTGCAGATATATTTTACAGAATATTTAAATTTCTTATTAATAAGGTACGGAAATTTAAACAACACTTTAAAAGTGATATGTTTTCATAGATTCGAAATAAAATCATTTGATTGCGTGGAATTGCAGGCTTTTGGTGAAAGTAAAGGGCTTGCCCGAAAACCTTTAAGGTTTTTATACTTTGAATCAATAAAATAATAAATTCTTTAATAAATAGATAATCCCGATATATATTTTACCGATGTAAACGAATTTACCGGAATTTGGATGAAAACCAGTGTGAGAATTGGTATAAAAGCTTGACTAGAGTAAAACTTCTTACTCCGAACGTGTAAAAAAAAATCCGTACGATCGGAATAAGGGTGAAAACCCATTTTGCCTATTAGAATAAACACTTTATCCGAGCTAAGTCGCCAAGACTTAAATCTTAAATTTTACTTGATTATATTAACAATTTAATCAACATTGGCTAAATTACTGATAATCTTTACATATATTTGTACACCTTTCAGGTACGTATCGGCTCCAATCCATTCATCGTGATCGTGTAGTAAAACGGGCGTGTTATTCATCGGCGAGAAGCCCAAGGCTCCGATGCCTGACTTACGCAAATAGCGGCTATCGGTGCCGCCGGTGAAGATTTGTGGTCTGACATCGAGGCCTCTGTGAAAGTGGATGCTCTTTTAAACTATTCTCAATTCATTTCCAAATCGAATGTTGCACTTACAACTCATCCGTGGCACACTTAAAGGCCAGCCAGAAGGGATTGCTGTCGTCTGTGGCAGTGGGCGGCACATAGGGATGCTTCTGATCGAATTCCAGCTCGATGCCGCCGCCTGCCTCCTCCATCCAGCTGTGTAACTGAGGTAAACCTTTCGATTAGTATTCTTTGAATATGAATATTTATATTGATCCAACCTGAGCGAGAAACTCTTCGTGCACCACGTCGAGTGACAGGCGCACATCGAAGCCAGCTGTCAGCTGCGGTGGCACCACATTGCTCTGGACTCCGCCGCCGAGTCTGGTCAGATTAATTGTGGTCACATCGCCAATTGTTAGCTCGGGATTGTTCTCGAGGCGCGCCACCTGCTGTCGGCGCAACTTCATCATTTTATCCAACAAATAGTGAAGCTTCTCGCCAGCTGTGTTTGGCAGCAAGAGGGAGCCGTGGCCGGCTGTGCCCGATATCTTGAAGGTCATGCCTAAATTGAGGCATGTCCTAATATAATTTGCTATGAATCTTGATGAGATTTGTTTGTGGTCAACTTACGCCACACGCTGCGCTCGGCATAGAATACGGCAAACTCAGCCGTGGGTGAGGCGAGGCCTTCGTCTAAACCAAAGCCCACATTCAAAGCGCGAAACTCTTCGGTTTCCACAAAAGGTCGCATGCCGCGACGACCACCCATTTCTTCATCTGGGAATGAATAGAGAAAATTTGGTTTAGAAACTTTACCAAATCTTTGCAGCACTTTGAAAATGACAAAGCAGCGGAACTTGTTCTATGCACGTAGGAATTACCCGGCTTTGCTTTGACCTCTATGTTCCACAAAGGTGAATTTTGCTGCGTGCCCAAAATAAATTTAAACAATGCCCTTTGAAAGTGAGCTGTAATCCCATTTAGTCGGAAAAATAAAAAACAGATCGTTTTTCAGGCATTTTCCGACCATTACATTTACATTGTTGCCGAATTCGAATTCCTTTAATGGTTATGTAGAGCTTTGCCTCTTCTTAGACCCCAATTTTCCAACTGGGTGAATTTTTCCAAGTGCGTAAAATTAATTTTACTCATCGAAAATGAACTTGAATCCGATTGAGTTGGAACAATATAAAACAGATCGCTTTCCGCTCATATTCCGATCACAGAGGTGGATTAAGCTATGTGAAACTTCGTTCATAGAGCCTATAAGCCTCAGCTTCCACCCAGTGAAGCGGGTGGATCTTTCGAAAAGCGTGAAACACGTCTTAACGGAATTTTTATGCGGATCTGAAAATGAGCTTGCAGCTGATCGAATGCCAAACTAAAAAGTATTCAAAAAACGCTTTTCAACAAATTTTCCACAGATGCGGATGGAATTTTCCTGTTATAGTGCGAACCTATATCTAATAGGGCGAACTTGGGTTGTTCGTTGACAAGCAAACAGTCAAGTATGTTATTTGTGTGTAGACTTATATTTACCTGCTACAAATGAGATGTGTATGGTCCGTTTGAGCCTGGTTCCATTGCGTTTTAGCGCTCTGATAGCTGCCAGATATTGCATGCCCACGCATTTCATGTCCTGAGTGCCACGGGCAAAGATGCGACCCTGCGCGTCGATGTCGGCGCCAAAGGGCGGATGCGTCCAGTTCTCCGCGAACACGGGCACCACGTCCATGTGCGAGTTGAGCAAAAGTGCAGGCAATTGTGGTTTCAGGCCCTGCCAGGTGATGACAGCCACGGGATTATCGGCATCGAATGGATAATGCACAGCCAAAGGCAGCTCCAGCTGTAAGGCCTGACGCCTCAAGAATTCCAAGCAGGGCTCTGCGTGAACGAAACTTTGTATATAAATCGGATTATAGAAGGGATTTTTAAATGCGCTCACCATAGTCCGGATCGGGATGGACGCTGGGTATGCGCAGATATTCGCGAAAGTATTTAATTTCCTCATCGGATTCCCAACTTTTAGAGCTCATGTTGACGAACCAGCTCCGTTGCGCTCAGCTGCTTGATTGGAACTGTCGTACAAAAAAATACCGACTGTGCCTAATCTAATCAAACGCCGAGTCACCGAGGTCGAGATAGTCAAGAGCTTGAGTTACTTTCAGTGAATGCGCTGCGGGGCGGGCCGCAGCTGGAGCTGCAATGCGATCTGATAAATGTGGCGAGCATTTTGACGGATACAAATAATTTACTTTAATTTACCGACGCCAGCTGTAAAACTGTTCACATACTATATCTATGCGTACACTGAGAGAAATTAACGCACTTGATTTCTGAATAGCAAATTCTTAAAACTTTGAGCACGACTCAAGATGAAAATTCTTGGGGTATAATTCGTGCTTAATTGCAAATAAGCTCTTAATGATCTTTGAATAAGTATTCAAACTCTTGAATTACATTTTTTATCAAGTTATATTTTTACATAATTCATGTTTTGAGATACCAAGAAAAATAAATATTAAATTTAGTTATGAAATTCCAAAAAAAAAGAAAATACTTGAAAGTAGAGTTCTAAGACTTATTCTTATTATCAAAAAAAAAAAAGACAAACATAACTAAATATTTAATTTTGTTTACCCAAAAACTCATAATTGAAATAACAATTACCCAATTGAGTCAAGTATTCCCGCATTCTCGTACTTTTAAGTCCATTTTCACTTAATTTAAGTTTAAAGTTCTTGCTTTTTTCTCTCGGTGTATGCATAGATATCCATGGAATTGTTTGGCCTGCTTGAGCAGCGTACACAGCTCGAGATAAATGCTATGCAAGTAATTTCCAGTTTATCGCAAACTGCGTACCAGCCTTTAGCTGTAAACCAGTTTGTCTATTAAATAAATACTCTGACAAATCCACTTAACAACAGGTTTAGCTTAAAAATCTTGTTGTTTTTTCTGTGAACGCTTAATGCAAATTTATTATTAGAAAATATAACTTAGCTTGACACTGATCAGCAATCAGCTGGAAAAGTTTTATTTGAATTTATTTTAATCTCCAGCTTAGTTCAATATTTGCTTCAAGCTGATAAGTTATCTATTTATAAATTTGTGTCGGATAAGATGCAGCACGATACGATTTTCTACTGGGTTAATAACATCAAAATAATTGTTGTGATAAGCAACTAATTATTAGATACGCTTCAAGAACATTGAATGCATTCAAAAAACCTTCTCTATAAGCCTAAAGTCAATAAACCTAAGTGTCAAGAAGTGTCCGCCTAATAGAGATGAATGGGCTTGGCCTGATTTGAAAGAGCTTGAGGAAAAATGTCCGACCACAACGGGTTTCCATCTAAGAAAATGGTCCTTTAGTAGAGTTTTTACATTATGTTGTCCTACAAAAAAAACAAAGAGAGAGATTATATATACTTTGCACGATATCTTTGCCCATTTAATATCGATACATATCGATTTTGGCTTAAAGGTTTTAAAGCATAACTCGATAATTATATAAGCTGCCTACACCAAACTTAGTATGTGGGTTATAGTACACAATACACAGACTGAGAATATATCACTTTTCGGCTTTTCATAAAGATCGGACTTTAAACACCGAAGTTAATAAAGACTGCATTTGCCATAGATAGTGTGTGGCAGAGGGAAGAAGAAGCACAGCTGCTACATAAGTAAAACACTTGCATTCGTGTGTATATGTGAGTTTTTGTGTATATATAAATAAGAGGAAGCTGGAGGGACTGTAATGGCAGATTATCGATGAATTCAGAGATTCTACAAGTCGGGCGATTAGTTTTCACTTATTTATTAATTATATTAAATCCCAATATTATACTGAATTATTTGCATTCATTTAATTTTTTTTTTAAGTTTTATTTATATAAATATTTATTTATTTAAGGAATATTCCTATTGTTGCTAAGCACTTGCGAATGCCCTCTTAAAGTTAGAGTATGCTGCATTAAAATGCAGTCAAGTCGTTTGGCGGCAGTTCGTTGAACTGATTTTAACTTGAAGTCTGGCAGTTAGGGGACTGTAGTTAAAGGGTAGTTTGTGTGGTGAGGGGCTTTCCCCCCTCAAAGTTTTTCGCCAGTGCCAGAAGCAGACAATTTATGGATAGTTCAGCTGCAGTTGTTGTTGTTGTTCTTGTTGTTGTTGCTTTGCTATGCTGTGTGTTGTGCCTGTGCACATCATTAAGCGATAATTATTTTGGACCGTAGAGAAATGAATGCTGAAAATGATTGCAGTTTCGGAAGGCTTTGCAAAAGGAAGCACAGGAAATGAACATTACTTATGACTATAGTTTCGTCAAGTAAAACTATAAGTAATCAGAGTAATTAGTGGAGTTTGTGCACTACGGTAATTTATTAGAAATATTTTATTCACAACTATTCAGTCAATTCATAAGTAGGATAAACTACATCTCTTTATACAAAATTGTTTGTCCTGACTGACTGATTCCTGATTCCTCATCAACGCACAGCCCACATTATTCTCGGTCAAAATCATAGTGAAAATGGTTCCCTTAAATATCCTTTATAGACATAGGTTATAATTTCCCACCCCCACAACTCAATCAGAACTCAACCAATTTTCATAAGGTTTGTCCTTTTGTTCATAGTTTTGCCTCAAGATCAATTTGTCATCTAAATCTGGCAACATCATTCTGGGTCAAAATTCATGTGAAAAGGATACCATCATATATCCTATATAGACATAGGTCAAAACTTCCCACCCCCATAACGCGGTCAAATCTAATCCGATTTTCACGAGGTTTGGCTTTTTGCTCATGGTTTGGCCTCTAAATCAATCTGCCATCTACATCTGACAACATGATTTTGGGTCAAAATGCATGTGAAAATGGTTCCCTCTAATATCCTATATAGACATAAGTCGAAATTTCCCGCCCCATAGCTCAGTCAAAACTCTACCATTTTTCATAAGGTTTGGCTTTCTGTTCATGGTTTGGCCTCTAGATCAATTTGGCATGTGAATCTGTCAACATTGTTCTTATTTTTTAGGTTCTGTCCGATTTGCTTTAAACTTTTATTCAACTTAATAAATACGTCACAGTGGTTAATCGTCTTACCATCCGATCGGTTTCATACTCATTTTCAAAGATCTTTAAGGGAATTTGTTTTATACCAAGGGTAAGACACAAACAAAGTTCATTCTTTTTTGTGGCTTGCCTTTGATCCAAACCTATTTCCACACAACCTCCCAATCAAGGCCCTCATTCATTCCAATTTCCAATTGTAGTATAGTGTAGTTAATTGTAAAGTTTGTCGTGCCGAAACCCTACGTGAGCTTTAAAAAATGTATACATATATTGCAGCTTCCTTTTTAATCAAATTCTATAGATTGGATGGTTTACTTTTCATATTTCCCCTATTCTCATGCCCATTTGCAATTCAAATCGATGAATGAACCCAACAAACTGTCTCACATTGCACGGAGCTAGCTTGCTTTTCTAAAATTAATTTGCTTTGGTCAGAGCTTTGGAAATTCGGTAAAAGGAAGAAACCTTTAATGCACTGCGAGAAGCCAAACAAATGTGAATGCGAGCCCAAGGACTGACCTAAGTCAAACAATTGACTTGGGGACTTTGGAGCCAAGCTGACAGAACGACAAAGCGAGCAATGAACCAAAAGGACCGACGGTCTATTTATTTGCCAATTTGGAAAAGGCCAAAGCCAAGCCAAGCCAAAATGCGACTAAGAAGCAAATAAATATCTTATTTCACAAAAAATTCAAAATAAAATGAAATCATTTTCTAAAGAAAAAAGGGCCGGCGAAGCCCAAAAGTAACAAAATCCCATAAACACGACATGTCACAACACGACAACAACAACAACAACAACAACAAATGGTACACTCTCCTTCTCACTCTTACGCTATCTGCCTCTCTATCTCGCTCGCACTGGCTGCCTAATTTGAGGAAAAGCTAAAGAAAATACAACAACTGAAGATGAAGCGAGTTGGCTTTGAATTACGTCAGTTTTGCGAAAGCCAAGGAACATGAAAACTTTCAGCCACAGCCAGAAAGGATAAACAGCCAACAGCTGAAAATACACATGCTGCAGTCGGCAGCATTTTCACATATTGTGGAAATGCTTAACAAATGCCGAAGTGGATTTCCCAAATGAATTTGTACTCGTTTTATTTAATTTTTCTTTGACATTTCTGCCATTTGCATTTCAAATGCGTATCGAAAGGGCTTTTTGGCCTTTTTCAGTTCACAGTTAATTGGAAACTCACAAAAGCTGCACAAGCTAATCAGCGCAATCCCCCCCCCCCCTCCGCTTCACCCCTCCCTTCCGCACACACTCCTCTGCCCCTGGAGTTTCTTAAACTACTTGACCAACATTTGCTTAATTAATTGTTGTGGCATATGCCGTAAAGCGGGCGGGCAAAAACTTGGCCAACATGTGTAATTGAATTGCCATTAATTGAAAGGCCTCATCATCATCAGCCTCATCATCATCAACATCATCATGATTATGCTTGGCCTTATCCTTGTGCCCATCCACATGAACGTGATTAGCATTGGAGCTGGGACAACTTTTGTGTCGCCGGGCACACAACAACAACAACAACAACATTGTTTGTTATTTTGGCAACCAAGCAAAACAGAAACCACCTAAAAACAGAAACAACAGCAACAACAAATGCCATGCAACAACGAAAACATTCACAAAGAACTCAAAAACAATTTGGACAAATAGTGAATACGCTTAACAAAATATAATACATTCCACAATTTCTGGTGCTGCAGAACAAACTGCTGAAACTTTAAAGACTTTTGAAAGTACTTAAACTTATTGGGCCTAACAATTATAATTATAATAATTCGGCTTGCCGTAGATTCAATACTCTTGTGGAATTTGATGAAAATATCTTGCAAAACAGAATATTTTGCCACACAAGAGCGACTTTTCCCGCCGGTTCGACATATACTACTGCCTGCAACAGAAAGCCGAACCTAAGCAAGGTTTCTAGACGATAGTTTTAAACTGAGAGACAAGTTCGCATAGAAACAGACAGACGGATGAGTATATCGACTCGGCTGTTGATGCTGAT